TCTTCTCATGCAAATAAAGAGCAGGGACAGCAATCTAGACAGCCTACCCAACAGCAGAATCAATCACAAAACAACCAACAACAACAGTCATCTCAGGCTAGACAACAACACCAACCACCACCCTTCAATCAGTCAACACAACAGCAAAAGCAACGGCAACCACCTCAGAATCAAGCCTCCAGGACAAAGAAAAACAATACATTGACTGATGCTGAAAAGGGAAGGATAAACTCCAACTATGCTTATCTTGGAAAGCAACCTCCTTTTTCTGTAGGAAGATGGAAAGGAAGATGGGGCAAAGGTAGATCCACAAGAAGTGGTACTCAAAATCAAAGTGAAAGTGCTGGTGGAAGAGGAAGAGGAAGTGGGAATCCAAATCAGGATGAAGTTGCTGGTACAGGAGGAAGAAGAAATGTCAATCCAACTCAAAGTGAGGGTGCTGGTGCAAGAGGAAGAGGAAGAGGAAGAGGACGTGTGCCTTCATCTTCAACTAAGTATTAGATTTGTTGCCTAGTCAATGGCATTGGATGCCTTTTTACTTTTGCTTTCAGAACATGACTTATCTCGTGCTATGTCGAGCATGAAAATGACTTGTCTTTTTGGTGGTTTATTCGTAGATGTCATACAGTTGGACCACCTTTTGTTTGTTAATTAAGTGGCTTGACTCTTGGTATTAATGATGTAATTATATGTTGGCAGTTGGTATTTAATCAAAAAGGTTTTTGGTTTCCCTATGTTCTATCATAATCCAATTTTACACTATTCTAGCTTTTCCATTGTTAAACATGTTAAAATGAACACGTCAAATATACCATTGTTTCAATTGTACATTGCTCACAAAAACAGAATAAACCAATATGATGCAATCATTAAAGCAAAACATGCTTTTCCAATACATTCTGTGTCCAATTAAAGCAAAACATGCTTTTCCATTCACCCATGAACTACATTTGTACATATTACATTCCAGTTCCACTTTCTTCATTCATTTGCTTATAATACATCTTTCTGGGGTAATTGCAATAGATCATTATTTCCTAAATTTTCAAACACCCAGACTGCAAATCCTGCTAACACAAAGCCATAGGTGATTGCAAGAGCTGCAGCAAACTTCCTCTCCCTTGATGCATGTTGTTGCATCATAATTTCCAACCTTCGAACCTTTGTCTGCAATTTTGCTGCTTTGCACTCCCACTTTTGTGCAGACTCTTCGGCATTTGTGAGCTGTTTCTCCATTTGATTGATTCGCCGAAGCAACCCAGGTATAATCTCCACTGAATGCGGACACATTTCTTCATCTATCCATTTCCAATACTTGCATCCCTAACCCAAATTCAAATTCATAACAAAATAGCAATTACTAACAACTTACCTCAGCAATTACTAACAACTTCACTAAATTACTGCTATCCATTACCTGAGCAACTGGACATTCCGCATATCTTCGACCTGGATTCCGTGGAGTCCATGACGTTTTCAGAATGGTACTCAATCCGCAGCCACACATTGGAGGTATTGGATTTGATCTTGGCATCTTCCACCTCGTCGTTTCCAATGCTATACGTGCAAGAAAACCCTAATTTTTCTTTCTTTTGCAGAAGAAGAAGATGAAATTTCAACAAATGGGCAAAACTCGCTTTTTGGAAAGGATTTCCGTTGCTTCGATTTTGCCTTGCTTAAGAATTGAAGAGTTGCATCTTTCAATCTCTTTTTACGCTACTTAGTTGCTGGTCCCGAGGGTGCAAACATGAACGGACAAAAATTCCCTTTACTTCCGGTCAGATTTGTGGTTAAAGTCATCAGAAGTCCTCAAAGTATGCATTTTTAATTGTTTAAGGATCAATCGAAAACAAATTTTAGATGGAGGGCCAAAAGATGACAACGACAATAGTTTAAGGGCTCCTCAGGTTTTTTCCTCTTTTATTTATGAATATCTTCCTTGATTGAAGCAAAATGTTGTGTCAGTTGATGGAATCTGCTCATATTTTGTGTTTGGTGATATTCATAGAAATTTGAAGTAGAAAGAGCTTCAAAGAGGAATTTTCAGAAGACTTGATGTCAATATGGCGTAGGTGCATCCGCAAAGTCTGAAATTCATGGGACGCGAGACGAGACTTCATCGCTTGAGACAAATCCTAGACACTGCCTCTTAGCTATCCTTATCGGTAGCAGACTTTGAGTCCAAACTTTATTTAGGGTACTTTTATTTTAGATAGGAACCATTTAATTTTGGGATATTTATTACTTAATTCCTTTTTAGAATACTTTTCGATAAATAAAAGGAAAGACAATTTCTTATAAGGGGGATTAGACAGCCTCGAAAAAGTATATTCTTTCCGATGGGTGACTCTCCCCCTCTCTATCCTTCTCTCATTAACCCTACTTCTCCTTTTTACTGCTTTCTTCTCTTGTTACTTTCTTTTCTAGTTGAAGGATAGTTAAGGTTTTGAATCCACAACACTTGTGAGATTTAATTTTGACTTTTATGTTTCATTTATTCATAAGTATTTATATATCCTCTACATGTTCTCGAGTTGATTGTTTTGCATGATTAAATAACTAATCACTATTTAATTGTCAGAATAATCAATCACCATCCAAAACATCAAATCCATAATTATTTGATTGTTTTAGTATTTGAGGCATATGACATAATTTGATTGTATATAAAAGTTTCAAATATATATCATGAAAATATATAATCTAATCTAAATGAGCCAAACCTGTGAGTGTATTGCTTAGAATTGGACTTTTTTTAATTCTTAATGTTGTTGAAATGTTAAATCCTAATACGTTATTTAGGATTGTCTTTTGATTAAAAAAGTAATTAATAGTCGTACCTTAGTTATTAAGAAAATAAGCAAAGATTGCTTGTCCGAGTTTATTGACAACTATAACTAATTTAACCAATTTATTCATAAATATATTAATTTATCTTTGTATCAATGATCAATTACATGCACCAAAATCGAGATTAGTCTTTTGACTAGAAGTTTCTATATTATTAAATTAGTTTTATTTTATTGTTGCATTATTATTTTCTTTTAATTAAGTTGTTTAGCCAAATTTCTCAATACCCTCACTCTTTCCTTTAGTAAAGAAATAAATCAATCAATCCCTTTGGATCCACCCTACTATCATTGCACTGAAAAATATATCTTTCTGAAATAGGTATTGTATTTGTTGTGGTTTCAACAAGCATCAGTTATAGGGGATGATCTCAACGTTCCAGCAAGATTTGTATAGTTGAAGATTTGCTTGAGAGTGACTATACTTGAACTCTCTCTCTCTCTCTGCCGAGTCTTTAAGTTCTGTAATAGTTGTAACCCTATGTTTTCAAACTCGGATTGGGCATCGATTCAGTCGAACTCAGGGGTTAGGGGTTAATAAATTTGATCGGGTTCAATTGAAGCCGAACCAGGTGATGTCATCATAATATCATAAATATATATTAAATATATAAAACTTGAAATACCATGAAAAGTATACACATTTTGGTGTTTTTCTTTTTCCTACACATTTCCTACATATCATACCCATGAAGTAAAACCAACTTTGATAACTCAAATAATACAATCCAAAGAATAACTTCACAAATGAAGAGCAATAGCCTCCAAATCCATCCAAACTAACAAACTAAACTAAATAGGAATCTAACACATGTTAAAATCTTAAGACAATGAAAAGTACACCTCTTTCTGTATATTCATCAACTCCTTCAAGTTGAAATGCTGTAATAATTTGTTTCAATCTAAAACTTCGATGCAGCAACATCATCTGAAAGAACAAAAACAGAACAAATTGAAGTATAATAAGTTTTGTTTAGTTGAAAACATATCATAGTATTTATTTAGCCATTCACATATTAAGTTTCTATATATTGAGTTATTCAAGAATTTTCTAGGCCCAATATATACATTTTAGTTCTTTTTCTTAGAATTCATATGTCACAAATTATTGCAAAGTATAATCCCTGGCAAGTTCTTACTTACACGCGAAGCTTAATCTAAAATACGAATGCCAAAAATGAAAAAACACTAATACAAAAATTGATTCCCAAATAGTATCAATTATTACTATTCTTCTTCTTATATCGATGCACGCTTTTAACTACAACTGGTATGAAAACAAACAAAATCAGTGCATAGAGCCGATCCCCAAGGGCAAAGCAGATGCCGATTAACACTTTTATACTTGCAATAAATAAAAATGAATTTTTTTTTTAAAAGACAAATGAAGAGAGAAATTTACATTAGCGAGATGAAGTCATCGGCTTAGGGAGATGAGGCAATTGTCATGTCTCTGAGGAGTTCGGAGGCAAATTGGGTAAGAAGGAAAAGGGAAGTGGGATGTGAATTGGGGGGTGACGGCTGGTGTGAATATGACGAGAAGAATCAAGAATTAGGGTTGGTCGGTTGGCAAGTCAAGCAAAATGAGAACATAGAAATTAACTCGGTTTGCACGGTTCACGGTTCAACCTTATTTTTGACCGGATTTGATAGAACTTTTTCCAACATGGTTTTTGGCATAACTCGGACCGAATATCTGACCGGTTCCTGGTTTGATCGATCAAACCAATGGGTCTAGTCCGAGTTTGAAAACAATGTTGTAACCAACTAATAAATTCTTTTTCTTCTTTTTGGACAACTAAGAAATTCTTAATCATGCTTAATCTTGTAATACGAACACAACAGCAGGCTTTGACAGAATAGGACAAAAGCAATGTAGATCAGCGCATTAAGTGCCAAACTATGAGTTTCCTCATCTACCTGCCTCAGCTTATTATGAGCAATCGTCAGCTCTAGTATAGACTACAAGTGCAAGGAAAATCAGTAATATTTACTTGAAACTAAAGTCAATACAAGTAAAATGTGAGAAAACGCTAATCTCATCTGCCGAAAAATTCTATTAATTCAATCTTCTTTTTCATCCCAATTCATCAAATTTCTGCCATGGTAAATTTAAGTCCTTGCCTAGTGCTTTCATGGATACTAGCCATCATGTGTTATTTCCATATAATAACTCAAGCCTACCAGACAAAAAGTACCCAAAACATATCCTCTTTCCCAAACTCCTATCCATCTGAAGTCGGCAGCGGTTTCAACGTTATCGATAGTTGTTGGAGAAAAGACAGCAAGTGGGCCTCCAATCGCCAAAAATTAGCTGATTGTGCCAAAGGATATGGAGCTGATGCCCGAGGAGGCAAAAATGGTGCCATATATGTTGTGACTGACCCTTCTGACCACCCGATCCATCCCAAAAAGGGGACACTCAGATATGGTGCAATTCAAAAAAGACCTCTTTGGATCATCTTTAAACGGGACATGAGCATAACCTTGGAAGGTGGTGAACTTTTTATTAGTAGTTACAAGACTATCGATGGAAGGGGTGCCAGGGTTGAGATTGCAAACGGACCTTGCCTCAGGCTCGATAACGTGAGCCATGTTATTATCCATGGGATCAGTATTCATAATTGTTTGCGTGGGAGACTTGACTTGGTTCGTCGTGATCCCGATCATCTTGTTAATACAAGTACCATTGGGCAATCTGATGGAGATGGCATTCGAGTGACTTCATCTAGCAAAATCTGGATTGATCATTGCTACCTTTCAAAATGTGGAGATGGTCTTCTTGACATAACTCAAGGATCAGCTGCCGTCACCGTATCCAACAACTATTTCACACAGCATAACAAGGTAAAATGGACAAGTTAAAAACGGATATATACAGTACAATATCCAGAATAAATTTAATAGGAAACTCGGAAAAAAAAAGAAGGAAAAAAAAAACCATAAAAAGGATTTTCTTGATTTCAGGTAGTCATGACTTTGATGTAATCTCTTTACAGGTGATGCTGTTAGGGCATTCAAATATGTATCCTAAGGACAAAAAGATGCATGTTACCGTGGTATTCAACCATTTTGCTTCTGGACTAGGCCAAAGAATGCCAAGGTAAAATCAAGCTCTAATCAAATCGCGATCTTCGCTTCTTTTGCTTTAAAATATGTCTTGGTGATTATAAACCCATCTTACTGTTCTTGTTTTTTTTGTTGGACTTCTCAATGTTTACGTATTTGTTGAGCTCGTTATAAAGCATCAAATGTTTAGTTTGTTAGATCAATTTATTGTGGTGGTTATGAACCATCTAATTAATGTTCTTTTGCAATTGAAAAACCGATTTTGTACATGTTAATTTTTTGGGCGCACTTAGTAGTGCCCATTTTAATAAAAATATCAATTGTTGGTTGGTCAAATTTTACCCAAATAAATAAATTATAAGTGCTTTTGGTTAGAAATATATGTTTAAAATGTGAACTTCAATTCTTTAAATTAACTAGGTAGCACATAGTTCGTGATATGCTTGAATGTGTTGGCATTTTCTTTAAGCAACTTGTAACTTGAAAATGGGGAGGAGGCTTATAAACCACTTGATATTTCTTGTTTGGGAGAAATTCGACGTTTTCATGTTTAGGATATATTTTGATGCTCCTACATATTTGTCTAAATATTTTCTCAACTTGGATGTATTTTGCAACTTTTGATAAAATTACAGGGTTAGGTATGGATATGCTCATGTAGCAAATAATAAGTACGATGAATGGGGGTTTTATGCTATCGGTGGGAGCTCGCACCCAACAATACTGAGCGAAGGCAACCACTACACTGCACGAAATGATCCTCGTACTAAAGAGGTGCTTGAGTATTCATATAATTCTCTAATAATTCATCCAAGAAAATGTTTATATATATATATATATATATATCTCTCTCAGTACGTTGTTTATAGTTGCTGGAGGATGAGATGTTTGGGTGTGGCATTTTTGTGGCAGGTTACTAAGAGAATATCACATGATCGGAGGTGGAAGAAGTGGTCATGGAAATCCAAGAATGATTTATTTTTTAACGGGGCATATTTTGTTTCATCTGGGAAATTTTGGAGACCTGATTATTCTAGATCTCAAGCATTTAAGGTGGCTTCGGCAAAAGGAGTTCCTACTAGTTTGACTCGTGATGCTGGCCCTCTCCGCTGTGTTGAAAATCTTCCATGTAGAAATTGAAAGTGATCAAATAGTAGATTCCGGATTTTAAGCTCTTACTTTTCCTTATTTAATTCATAATAATTAGAGAATAGAAGATGGCCCCATTAAAGATATACACTTAGCAAACAAGGGAAAAGTTGACAGGCAACTGACATTTAAGAAATATTCCTACAGCTGGCCTGACCTCGTAATTTGTTGATTGAGAGCGATAGTTTAGTAATTTTATTGGGCAAAAAGTCCCCGTGGCCCTCAAACTATTAGCCGGATGAACTTTTGATCCCTAAACAATTAAAAGTAAATTTTTGGTCCCCAATCTATTCAAAGTACAAAATGTTAGACCTTCTGTCAAATTCAGCAGTTGATATTGACAGAAACTACAATCACGTGAGACGCATGCCGAAATATGAAGGGCATTTTTGTCCATAATGAGCTGTGTTCCACTCGATAAAATGGAGCGAAAAATAATTTTGACCAAATCGTTTACTTTTACCAATATCTCTTCCTCTACCATTGTTGGCGATTGCTGCAACTTCCCAACTATCAACACCGTGGAAGTAGACGGTGATGCAAAATGCAGTGGAGAGCAAAGAGTGACCAGAGGCCCAGGGACCAATCACTTGGAATTTCTGCTATGTCGGGGTGTGCGTGCAATCACACGTCTTTGAATGAGAGATATAAACAATGTTGATCCCTGTTGCAGATGGGATCGGGACGAGCCTTCGAACCTCCTTTGTTCTCTTCATAGATTATTGCCCCTAAATTCTTTCAGATGAAATTGAGTGAGCTACCATCCATCCTTGAAACCCCTAACCTCACCCACCTTTCCCATTTATATTTTGGGTAGCTTAATTTCTCGAACATCCCAAACAAACAGTCAAACTACTTGTAATCAGTGGGTGGAAGGATTCCCTCTCCAGCATCATCTTGCAAAATTCTATTCTACAAAATATCGGTCAAATCCTATTTGCTCTTCGTCCGTATCGATCCAAAATATCATCTTGCATCCCAGCCCCTAACCCAATTTTAGCTGAATATTATCAACCTTTTTGGGCATTTCGGCAACTCCCAAAACTTGTTGATCTTTCACACTGGAATTGAATCAAACTTCCAGCTGAGATTGGAAATTCCATTGCAAAACAGTTTTATCGAGTATACTACAATAAAATATACTATCTGATTTGGGTCTGTAGTGGGCTTCTTTCCATCTCTTCCATGGGAAAGATCGATCCCTTTTTCCCCACAGTTTTGATCCGGGCTGATCTCTGACTGCATTTGAGGTATGAATTTCTGAAGCGTGGAGGAGTTTTGGCTATTTTACATGAATCAACACTCGAAACCAGCCACCAGGTGTTGGCATTTTGACAGGTGCCGAACCTATGCAATAATAAATACCTACTCGAGAAAAATACAGATTTTGTATATAGCGGTGAGCAGGGTCGAATCCACAGGGACTGGGGATAGTTTAATTTCTTCTCAAGTTCCAGATATGGGGGTTTTGAATTAAATGCTAACTAAATAAATTAACTGCAGAAAATAATTAATTAAAAGAAATGATTGGGGAAACTCTAGCCAAGGGTACACTTCAGAAATGGTTCATGCACTGATCATTGATGCAGAAATAATTCCAACATTTAGCAATAGATTAGTTATAGTTGTCATGCACACGATAAACAACCAACCCTTCCTTAATTTCTCGATAGCTAAGGTACGACCGTTAGCTATTTCTCTAACCCAAAAATAACCCTAGGTACGACCGTAGGATTTAATTTCTAGATTGCATTAATAATTAGAAAGGCCAAATCCTAACCAACAAACACGCTACGAGGGTTTGTTTAAGCTAGATCATATGTTCCCCAGACATAAATCCAATTACGCCAGTTGCTACTGAGATAAAGATAACGAACAATTACGGATTCAATTACCCCTATTTAGCAAAAATAGCCTATATGAATAATTAATTATTGCGCACTAATCAATCATACACAAGGCCATAGCAATTAAAATCAAGGAACATATAAATACCAATAAATGAAGAAAACAATTAAAACAGATTCGATCTCACAGTAGTTGTCGAACCAAATCGTCAGTTGTCCCCTTGACTAGAAAAGCTTAACCACGCCTCATGAGAAAATCTCCCCGTTGGGGAATATTGTCGAACACCTGGCGTGTGTCAGAGGCCAGTCCAAAGAAAGGAAACTAGAACTAAACTAAAAAACTAAAACTAAAGCCCTCGATGTCCCTGCTACTCTACGTTATCCCTATTTAAGCAACAAGAGGAAGATGACTAAAGGCTATCTAGGTGGTCCCCACACATGTGGACAAAGCCCTCCAAGTACTTCTTGTTCCAAGTCTCTTTCCCGTAACTTTCTTTTAAGAGCCCAAATGACTAGATGCTTTCCACTAGCTTGTGGTCCCCCACCAATTCAAGGGCCCAAGAATTGAAGCCCTTAGAAGTCTCCCTATTTTCCATAAAGTCCTTCCTTTTTTATGGTTTTCTGCTTCATTCCTGAAATTAAGTCATGGTACCAAATATAAGTAAATGTCAGCAATTAACACAATATTTGTCAGGAATAAAAGGGGAAATTAATAATAAAATTACTAACAAATTATACCCTATCAATTCCCCCCACACCTGAATCATGCTTGCCCTCAAGCATGGGAAAAATCCAACTCAACAATGGCTAGCTTTCTCATTATCATAGCCAGCTGTGCTTATACCCAGAATCAAGATCTAGTGACTAAGTGTCAAGACATGTCTCTCCCGGTTAGCTCCTAAATTCATAGACCTGTCCAATTCATGGCTACTTCGCTTAGGGAATCCAAATACTATCTAGCAACAGTCAATAATTAAGTCCACTGGCAACCAAAATCTCAACAATACGAACCAAGGATCGGCAGGCTAACATGATCATGAACTCACATATTCTCCACATCTGATTGTCTTTTTTTTTTTTTTTTTTTTTTTTTTTTACACGAATAAGGCTGAGTCCCAAGCTATTCAAGTCTTTTGACGTGAACTCTGACATTTTTAGATGAAAGAGCCCAGTTACTCAACTTTTCACAGCTCCAGGACCACTTACTCATAGATATCGCCACTTTTTAACGCGAGAGCCGACACGTGTGGTGAAGACCCCCGGTTACTGGGTGGCGACACTAGCGGAGTATAGCCATACGTTATTCACCATAAAACACCAAGATACCAAATAATTATAGATCATAGCCTGCGTCATGTCCTAAATATGGAGACTAAGGTAAACAGGAGACCAAACTACACAACAGTGCCAGCAAAATATTTATATTGCCTAAACAAGTTAGCCATAAATTGCACCACGTCGTTAAACTCAAAGTATTCACCAAGAAAGTATGCTTTTACTTGCCACTGTAACTCAACTCATAGTACAAACCATAACTAACAAGAAAAAGTGAGCTGCCAAAATATTCACCAATATAGAAGCAAGGGAAAATCACCCAAAAGGGATAAAGGAGCAACACCTAAAACAGAAAACACTTAAACTAAAAACATAGGAAAAACACCCCAAAAAACGGAAAACTGGAAACATGTAGCACCCAAACTGACCATTCCCCCCACACCTAATTCACACATTGTCCTCAATGTGATAAATAAATAGTAATAGCAAGGCGAAAGGCAACGGAACTTCCCTGAAATCGTCAAAACAGGGGCGGGTCGGGCGGAGTGCTGCCAAATTCTGCGCCATGTTATGCAAGTCGATATCAATGTGGGTCACTCGAGTCTCCAGTCTCTCAACTGTCATCGGAAGTTGGAGCCAGTCGTCGGCCCCTGGGGGAGGATCGTGGCTTCACCATGGTAACTAGCAGGCAACCCAAACAATAAAATGCACAAGGCAGGCTCCTAAAATCTATACGAATACCCCAATACTTATAGCAAATGCAATTGACAAGCACTTGTGGTCCCAATTCAGTCAGATATAGAAACAAAGTAGTCCAAATGTGCAACAACTGCTCCAAAGACTTGAGTAATTAAAATTGATGGGCAGATTACCCCAAGCAAGTCAATTAGATGCAACAAAATGAGCAATAGGCAATGGAAGTGTCACAGTAGCTTCCCAAATCAACAATCAACCGCAGAAAGTAGCTACCCACACTATCAGAACACAGCTCCCAACAATGCAACAAAAGAACCAATAATCACAGGAAGCCCCACTATTGTAAGAACCAGCAAATGCAATTCAATAAGTAATGATATCCGCAAATGCAGACAAATACCAAACCTTTCCCCACAAAATCTCAGTAAATGCCTCCCAGAACCTCTTAAAACAGCCACAAGAACCTCTTAAAAATCGCAACCGATGGTGCACAGAAGCAGCAACTAAATGCCCAACCCAAAATCGCAACAAACGCCCAACAAAAGCAGCAAACCCCCAAAATCAACTCCCAATAATTTCCAAATAAGAATAGCTATCAGAGGGTCTAGAAAATATCAATCTCAAGGGCTAAAAGAAGTCCCAAACTAATGAATTGGGATAGTAACTATGGCCATGAAATCAGGAATCAATGCACTAAGTATTAAAATTGCTGGATTAAATAAATGCACAACATTGCCAACTACCATTCAGCAGAGGCCCGAATAATTTAGCAACTTAAATCAACAGTCATAGGGCATCAAGAATTCAGCAAATTAATTTAGCAGGGACCGAAAACCAAAGTTCAACATTGAACCCAAAGTCTGTGCCCAATTCAATCTAGAAATCTATTCCAGAAATAGTACTCCAAATATAAGTAATTTATCTTAGAAAGTTGGCCAATAAATTGGGAAAAACAAGTACCTCCGCCTCATACCAGAGACACCAAGCAGATGGCCATGGGTGGTGGAGCAGTGGAGCAGCGGAGGAGCTGTTGGCCGTGAGCTGGTGACGAGGTGGAGAGAGAGCAGAGGGAGGTTGCGGCGGTTGGCAGGAAGAGGCGGTGGCCGAAACTTCGTGCGCGGGAGCAGCGCGCGATGGTGGCTCTGGTCGGAGACGAAGCTGGAGGAGAACTGATGGTGGTGCGAGGTG